TTTTTTTTTTTTTTTTTTTTTTTGAAAATGATTGTAATATATCAAATTGAAATGTATTGCGTGTCATATATTTTTATATATATCGGCAAGCATTATAAACGCTTACGTAACGACTAACGTCAAATTTGGGTAATCAATTTTGAAAATTGTTCCGCATAGTTTTGACGCCTCGTCGTTTTATGGTTTCTATTGGTATATGTTCTCGGAACACGTATGTACATATATGCGGCGTTTGATGCTGTGATTCGCCATAAGAAAGTGAAGGTTGATAAATCGAGTTAGCACGCGATGCTACTTTGGCTAAATTGTTGCGAAGAGAAATTGGCAGGCTGCATGCTTATTGGAGGAGGAGGAAGAGGAGGAGTGGGGGGGGGTAAAAAGTATGAAATAGTTGAGGCGATTAAATAACTTTTTTCGAGAAAGTAAATCGTTTGGTATTTCGAATGTAAAAAATTCGAATATACGTGGCACGCAATGATAATTATGATAAGTCGTCAACTATCTATTCGCATGCAAATTCTTGATTAAGGTCGACTTGCGTTAATGTTATTATAAATACATTTAATTATAATCCGTGATTTTTGCGTAACTAGCAGTAAACGAAATTTGTATTAACCTTCAGACGGATTAATTTTATCGTTACCGTACAGTGTATGTAATTAGTCAAATATATTTTTTGCACAGCTATAGTACATTGATATACATATGCAAATTTAATTTTGGAGATGACTATCGAATTTTTTTGTAAGTATCGCAATTACGTGATTATTTAATTGTTATATTAAAGTACAGTCAATTTCAAAATATATATTTATTATTATAATTTATTAATCTTCATTTAATACAGGGTCTCACGTCATAATTCTATTGGACGATCGTTATGATTATCAATGAAATATGCCAATTGAATTTTCATTTCTCCCACGTGCGTTCGAATTCAGATGTAATAAATTGCAATCAAATAACGTCCAACGCTGAAATTCTCATCTGTAAAATTTTGTCGTACCAATTGTCACGCTCTTCCTCCTCTCGCCGTTAACCTGGCGACATACGACAAGGCTCGTTTCTCGTTGGACGATTTTTCGACGTCCCCATACCGACACCACGAACACCATAAACATCATGGACACCATAGCTTATACACTCAGATAGTATACGAACTCACTTGCAAAACCACTGCACTTCGGTATAGATATAACGAGGAAGATAAGCGAGCAGCATCAGCTGCAATGATTTATGGTATGGACCATCAAGATTCCTATCAAGTATCACCCTGGATCCTGAAAGCAGGACTTGAGGAAATAAAAAAAAATTTGCAAAATTATAAAAATAAAAATTTAATATCAAAATCCAAAAGCCCACCGTAAATATTGCCAATTAATTTTTGACACTTTAATCGCACTGTGAAGACAAATGACGTCCCGCGCATTGAATACGAAAAATAATCGTATACATAAATTCAAATGTTTCACCCTAAAGCCTGCAAATAACGCGGACGGAATACGTATAACGAAATAAAGGTAGGATAGTTTTTGAGAGAAAAAAAAAAAAAAAAAAATTCTAGCCACGACATCTGGATAGAAGCGAATCTCTATTGGCTGACCAGTAACTGGTACCTATCACTGGTAATATTGCGAATCCCAAGTGCTCGTGTCAGGTCGGGTATCATCGGTACAGTAGGCGTGAGTGGATTTCGCAGTATGCAAAGGCATTACGCGAGGTTTATATGCAGATAGGAACATACGAAGAGGTCCGTATCGGCCTGTTATTGTGGGACGCCATTTGACTCTTGGCTGTTATGTCTTATTGCGAGCATGGCCCATGTCGCAGTGCTCCCTTGAGTGGCTATCGGCATTGCTTCTCGCTGTTTATACCCTGCCGTTGATACGAAGAAGCTGATAGTACTGTGGCTCCTTTACGATACCTATGCAGAAACGTAGCTAAGAAATTCAACGTAGAGAATATACATAGTAACATAAGCATTATAATCGCTGAAAATTACTATAATTTTTAAATAATAAAAAATATATATCATAAACGTAAATTTGATTAATTAAACAAAAAATTTCCTTCACTGCACTTTCCCGTTACCCAACCACCCTGCACAGTGGTTAAGTATACGGTGCGGTATAACTATGTATAATTGTGGGAATTAAACATTTTTTTCTCATACCTTTGTCGTCGTTCGTCATGCTTTATTGGATGCTAGACGAGCGTCTATCTAAAAGTCGATTTTCGCTCTTGACTTGGATCTAATTTATATATATTTAAAGACGAGTAGTGTCCTTTTGCCATACAGGTACTCGCGTATGATATAGGTACTGCTCGCGTTAGATACGTGTGTCGTATTATTTATAGAACAGCAAGGCAGTGGAGTCTGATAGGCAATCAAGGCAGGGCGCGCGTGCAGCATTCCTTTGCTGAGTCACCAGTCGCACATAAGCAACCTTCTATGCCATACCGATAGTCAGTAATAACGGCCCTCCTATCGTTTACATAAAAGCATAACGCTTATGCCATTGCCATTTTACATACTCAAGTCAAACAGTCATCGGAAGCAGGTGCAGATTCCATATGCCAAAAGCGTCAACAAATTACTGATATTCAAAAGCATTAGGTGTTCGTAAGTCACTGCTGAGACAGACGTGCTTATCGGAATAAATAAATTTGGAGATAAACGGTTAACGATAAACTTTCATGAAAAATACATGGGACAAATATTACAGTCACTTTTACGTAATCTTGTCATCATTTAAAAAAAAAAAAAGTCACTTTTCATAATTTTCGAATTTTATCGTTTCAACGAGAAAATTATATGACTTTTTTGGTCTTACAGAAAATTGTTACAATTTTTTTTTATGTTTATTTAATTATTTATAAATTTTAGAAATTACTATTCTTTTTTCGAAGTAAGATCGATCTCTAGGTGCTTTAAAGATTAATTTATTGATAATGCAAGTATTTCTTGCTTTTCTCGTATATGCACTCCATAGTGTCTTATACACGTATGTGTAATATAGGTACTGTGTATTGTACGGTTATAAGGGCGGCCCTATAGTTCCATTTTGAATACAGCCAAATTTGGACTTAATTCGAGTGCAAGGGCCACTTCTACCGGTAGACAAACTTCCCTCTCCACCTCGAGCTATTGTAGTCATTGTTGGTTTTGTTACAGGCCATTGTTCGCTCTTCGCGCCGTTCAGCTCGTGGACCCGGCGCCATGTTTTATTTCAAGGAACTCTTACGGCGTTTGTCCGCGAGGTACAATAGACTCGATTAAAAGCGTCTTTCAGCGTGCACGTTAATAAAAGCGCGACACTATATGCACGTCCTGTCGGACCGATAAATCCCTGCATGGTTTAACGTGCGAACGATGCGTTTTGCATCGTCACCGGTTACTCGCACGTTAATGACCCCCTTCGGTCCCTATGTCTGGTCTCATTCGAAAACAAATTAATAAATAAAAAAATTCCTACAAGAATCAAGAGCAGAGTGCGTATATAAAAAAATTTTGTTGATCAACAACCTGAATCATCATAGGCAAAAAATCGCAGATTTTTATATCTAAAGCGAAGATCACGATCTCGATCATTTCCGATATCTGCAAGGATGCTTGAAATTGCCCGGAAGCGACTGGACCGCAGGACCATCTGCCGATAATTTTCCAACCATTCTAATAATCGTGTTATTATCAGCATCATATCCGTTATCGTCTTTTTTCAAAAAATGTGTGTACCCATGTCAAAAATTGCAAAATTCTTATATACGGTATAGCGCAAGAACTAGTCTATAGAAAAAATTCAAGATGTTTGTCTTTTTGAAAAAAAATATATATCATACAGCAAGTACCGATATAAAAAATTCATAAATAAAAAAAAAAAACAACGTTCAATCCCATTGTGTTTGTATAAATTTTATAGTGCCTGTACGTGCAATAATTTCGATCGATCAAGTTGATTAATCAAAGGCAAAGACAATCCCTTAGAAATTGGCAAGCAGGAGTTTCCCGAAAATGTACAAAATATGTAAAATTGAATGAGCTCCGCATACGCTTCGATCCGTGAGCCCAGCACCTGTGCCGCGCCAGTCGCGTTGACTCATTGCAAAGATACGCATAACGCACCACGGCAAAGTTTATTTCGAGCTTGCGCGCAGCGTCACACTGTCTGTAGGGCAGAGAGATTCCCAAGCGGCGTTGATCTCTAAGGGCTCTATTTCTGGATGATTCACATATACGCAGAACTCTACAACAATGGAGAGCATTGAGAAGCTTTCCAAGCGCACCAATCAGAAGCGAAGCTCGCAACGTCACAAATTACACAGGAAGCATATACCTCACAGTTACACACGGCTATACCTATATATAGCCGGCAACCTAGAGATGATTCAACAACCACGTACCAGTTCTACCCGGTGACACTCGTACCCCTTAAAGCTTGAAAAAAAAAAATGACCTCACCCTTAAAACCATACATTTTTTTTTATCAGTATCTTTTTTCCGTCACATCGAATCACATTCGGTTCACACACGGCTCCTGTGTCTCACAGTGCTTCAGAGTGGATTAAGACCCGTAAGCATGTTCGTCCAGGTATAAACGTTGCGACCGATACGAGACCTTTCAGATGACATCGAAAGCATCGGCCCATTACCGTACCGTATTATTCCCCAGCATTTTGACATTTGGATATAGCCGCCCGAGTCGTTCCGTAGCCGCACGTACCGTAACCTCCAAGCTAAACCGAAGCCAAGCCAGTGTCCCGTGTTACGGGATGGATGAACGTAGGCGATTTTTACAGACGCCTCT